TAGATCTGTTCTTAACACCTGAAAACATTCGCTGCGCTTATTAAAGTATATAACTTTAATTGCTAACCACATAATACCAATCATTAATCGCCGACTCACCTTCTAGTGCTGATGCTTTGCTTCGCTACCTAACAAATAACCTCAGCACCTCTGCTCCTCAATTCACAAATGGCTTGTATTCTTTTGCAGCGCCGGTGGTATTGCTGTCTTGAAGTACGCCAGTAACAAAGTTAAAGGAAAAATTAAACACACGCGGTAAGTGCGGAACTGGTTGAAACCGCTTCAAACTGAAAATCACAATTATTTTTCGATACAGTATGTATAAATAAATGCATGTATGTACATATGTATGAACGAACAAAAGTATAATACAAATGAGCTATGGACAAGCACAAAATATGTCGAGTTTGGTTTTGAGTAATTTTTTTAATTTTTTGCCTTTATGTATTTTCTTCTTTTTAAATAAATTATATTCTTTTTCATTTTCTTATTGATGTCAGTGATTAAGTGTAAAGTGGACCAAGAAAAACACTTTAACGATTTACTGCTATTTATAGTTATTTATGGTTTTACTTCAAATATTAAAATTTTTTGCTAATTTTATTTAATATGTAATTTAACATAATTGGTTTAAGTAGTGACGTGCCATAGATATTACTTTTTAACAAATATGTATATGCATATGCACATATATACTTATTTTTTACAGTTATTAATTACTTTTATTACAATTCGCGTGTACTAATTTTTCATCATCACCTAGCACTTTAACATTATACCGTTAACTGCGTACTACTAGATCCGGCTGCGAAACTCAACTGAGCGCAGATTTTACTCAACCACCATTCTTATAGCCAACAAGGCGCCTCCATTCAGTTGAGGGCTCGATCAAGTCAATAGTAAGCGTCAAGCTCAGCCGGAGGGAATCAGGGTCGTATTTACGCTCGTTAATGAAGGAAGCAAAGCAATCGAATAATGTTGTCGATAAGGCAGTTTTCAATTTCCGTCTGAAAGCTTTCCGTAGGAAACTTTTCTGTAAAGCTTGTGAGATGCGGTTTGAGGTAAACTGTGGTAGCAAACTGTACCAGGTGGACAATTAGTCCGTTCGAATACATCTCCAGTAAAAATACCCAGCATAAACTTGCAAGAGAGTAATGAACGATTGATTATCTCTCAATTTTGAAAATATCCAAAGAAGTACGCGAACGCAAAATTAGCAAAACCTTGCAAGTGGTTAGCACAGCTGATCGAATTTTTGTTCACATACAAAAGCATAAAACAGAACAGATGAAAAGATTATAAAATTAAAGTTTGCTTAAAGCGATTTGCTAAGCAAACGTAAGTAAATAACTGGGCTATTATTGCGGCAAATACGTCCCACATATCGCGCTGCGCCCGCAGCGTGGCCCTGTAGGCGGCATCTTTTTTCTCTGCAGCTTCCTGACACTCCTCAACGTACCAGTTGTTTTTCAGGCTCGGCGGCGGTACTTAATGAGCGGGAGATGTGGTTTCAATGCTCGCATATGTCGGTTTGTTGCAGACTGCTCTCTGAGAGCAGGTGTGAGAGTCGAGTAGCGAATGCATTGGCTGTCTGTGGTGAGTGCAGCTTTTCGACGTAAACTTTCCTTGCATATTTGGGCGCACATTTTTTGCTGCACAGAGGCGGGTGTGTATTTTGGCTGCAACAAGATAGTGATCCGAGCCGATGTTTGGGCTTCGGAGTGTTCGTACGTCTAAAACACTGGAAGCATGCCTTCCGTCTATCTCAACATGATCGATTTGGCTTCTCGTTTTTCGATCCAAATCTTGTTTATGCTTGAACCAAGTACTGCATACTGTCATGTTTCGGGCCCCGGCGAAGTCGATCAGCCTCAATCTGTTGTCGAACATTTCGTCGTGGAGGCCGAATTTTCCGACGGTGGTTCCAAAGATTCCTTTTTTGCCCACCGTGGCATTGAAATCGCCAAGCACGATTTTGATATTAATTTGTACGACGGATAATTTTGTGGAACCCCTTAACCCAAAAAAGTCTCTTAGTCCAGGACCAAATTATTCCACAAGACTGTTCTTAGAAAAATTTTCCAAAGCGTATCCAAACAATAAACTGTACATCTTAAGCCAAGAGCTTAAGATGTTATATATGTATAAGAAAAATCCAACCATTATATGAGTACAGTAATTTAATAACACTATACAAGCCAGTTTTTAAACGACATGTATATAGGTATATACACTTCACTATGGTTTATATGACTGTTTTTTTGGCCAAAACTAATTACGGCAAAATATGTACATACTTTTTGTAAAAAAAAAATATTTTAACATAACTACTGTTGCGACCGATCATAGCGTGGCCCTCTAGTTGTTTTTCGGGATCGCTGAAATCCGACTGCTTCTGCGGCGGCGCACAGTGGAACGACCCCATATAAGTTGCGGCCAATGTATTAACCGTACTACAAATTCGCTGAAATTTCGTATATCCGCTATTCTGCACTTTGGAATGAAGGACTGTGAAAAATGGTAAATGTCGACTCGCTGCCACGCTTACAGCTCTTGTGGGCAGAAATGGTAAATGTTGTTGCTAGTTTTAACCATAAAAGCATAATTCTGAAAAAACGTCAAAATCGGCATCGGCGTAGCCAGAATGAAATTTAGGGGGGGGGGGGGG